GCTGCTGCAGGCAGCGGAGCAGGGAGTGACAGGCGCTGAGGTCCTGGCAACGTGATCCCAGAGCGCGTGCTACTTCGGGCCCCCAGCGGGGGGCCAGGAGGCGTGATCCTCTTTTGGGAGAGCCCTGCATTCAGCGATGTGTCACGCGATTGCCACTTCAAGCTGAACGGGCCAAGGGTCGCGTAGATGATCACTTTGCTTTGGTCATGTATCTGTAGAGGGACGCTGGGCGCATCGCTTCCTTGAGCGAATCGGAGGTGCTCGCGGAGCTCGATGACGACAGGTGCAGTTCATTTGACGAACTGCTGGCTTGGTTGGGCAATTCCGTCATGCCAAATGGGGCGCCCTCTGTTTGCGAATGTGTGATCAACTCCAACTCTTGTTTCTTTCTCGAATGCCCGAGATGCGGCGGGAGGCCAGTTTGCGCCGCGGGCAACAGGCAAGCCCCGCAGGGGGCGCCGGTCAAGTACGATTTGCGCGTCGTTGGAGCGGATCAGAGTGAAGGGGTTCCTTCGACGCTAGAGGTGGAAGCAGACTCCGCGCGAGTGGTATCGGCGAACGCGTAAGTCCTGTTTTGAAAATCCCAAAGAGCGAGGCCAACTGCCCCTTTAGAGCGCGCAACGTACAGGTGAGCGGTTATCAGAGGTTGCGGTCTGTCACGCACGGGTCGCGATGCTCGCGGTCGGTCAGAGGCATGGCCCCCGTGGGCCCCATTGATTTTGCGCGGATTCCTGAGTTCGAGATGTGCAAGCCAGCGTCTTGTTTTCCGCCCTTCATGGATAAGTTTGGCAGCTGTTTCGCGCGTCAAGCGCGAGTGAGCAATGTTGGGTCAGACAGCGATTCTGCGAGAGAACGGATCACCTGGCGTCTGGCAGTGCGTTCCTTTTGTGGAGGAACGTGGCGGATCGCAGTCTGCCCGTAAGTGCTTACTTTGGGGCTCGATGGATTGGTTTCTGACAGAGACAGCATCAGACGCTGGTGCGATCGGCCGAATGCTGACAACGGAGCGGGGTTGATCTAGGGGGAAGGGCGCGCGCCCTGGCTCCCGAGTGAAAAAAAAGAATGGTTTGCGCGAGCGGAAGCCCGCGCATAAATCGAAGCATCCCTCCGACTTGTTGGCGCCGTAGGTATTCGTGACCACGGAGAGATGCAGCCGGCGTTCTGCGATTGCGTTGCCTACGGCGCGCTAGAGCGATACGATGAGGCGCGGATGGGCGCGTGTACTTGTGGAGGCTGCGTCCCGCATGGGCCCGGTTGCCTGTCCTCCAACCGAAGGTTTCACGTCTGGCGCCTTTCTGCTTTTTGGGGCTGTAGTTATTAACGATGTCCTTCACGTCCACGGGAAATGGCGGCACCCCAGCTTCAGCGGCCCTCGCGCATCACGGGGCGCGCGGGGGAGGACGGATTGAGCGAGCGAAAAGCTTGGCACGATGTGCACCAAAATTGGGTTCATGACCATCCACAATTATCTGGAATGGGCGACTCAGCTCATGACGGGACGAGCTGCTGTTGCGTCGCTTTCTTGGCAGGGTGACCCCCCTCAGCCGCCTCCGTCGGGGTCGGGCCCGATCGAGGTTGTCGGTCGTGAGCCAGGCCTGGAATCCAGGCGTGGTTGGTGGAAAGATATGCAGACGTCAGACGCCGCTCGACCCGGCAATTTCTCCAAGGGAAGTTGACCAGATCCAGAGAGCAACCGGCAGCGTGGCGACGCGGAAGCCCCCCCCCCGCTTGCAGGTGGAAGTCCCAATGAGAAGAGAGAGGACGCGGCGGAGGCAAAGACAGTGGCAAATCGAGTTGGAGTGCTTCCTCATTTATTTATGGATGCAGCAGCGGTGGTAACATGAGTCGTTGTCGCTGAATTGGTGGCGGTCTCTGGTTGAACAAGAATATTGGAGCTTGTCTCGCCAGTGGGACCACTTGTTGCCTTGGGTGCAAAAATTGGCGAGAGAATTCACAGAAGGATGAGTCCGATTAGTCATTATGGAAGGACGGGTCTGGTGAGAAGTGGGGCAAGGAGATCCCTTGGGCGAGCTATGCGAAGTCGTTGCGAGCCGCGAGGAGGACGTGCCTGGGCTGAGGGATAGCGCGCCCCCCCCCCCCGCGGGCCTGGCGAGTCAATTACGGGTCCGTCGAGCGAGCGAGCCTCGCCTCTGCAGCAGGAGCAGGCACTGCGCGGATGGGTGGCGCTGTGGAAGCTTTTGGGGGCTGGCGCTCCTTGGCGCGGCGCGCTGAAGGCTGGCGCGCGGGGTGGAGTTGCTCCCGTGCCCGCCGCGGGGGAGTCGTTACCTTCGCTCCCTTCGCCATTCTGTTAAGTTTCCATCCGCCTGCCCTTGCTGGCGTCTGGTTCAAGTATTCACTGATAGTGCGCATCCTGCGCGCTGCAGCAGGAAAAGAGCAGCGCGCGCGCCGCCATGCCGTCCGTCAGCGATGAGGATCACACCGCCTCAAAGCCTTCTCGTGAAAGGGGTCTACTGAACCAGGGTGACAGGAGGGAGATACTACATACACTTATGCCGGGTTCGATTTGTCGTCTGGCACATATCGCTTGCTGTTTTCCGTGTAGAGAGGGGCGGCACCGTGGAGAGGGGCGACTTAAATTGCGGCTGGGGCAGGGATTGCGTGCGGAGGAGGAGGAGGAGGGGGAGGAGGAGGAGGAGGAGGAGGAGGAGGAGGTGGAGGAGGAGGAGGAGGAGGAGGGAGAGGATAAAAAGGAAGAGGCGGACGTGGAGGATGAGGCCTCGTGGTGGCCCTTTGGGGGTCCTGTTGGGGCCTCCTGGGGGCCCCTTGAATTTACCATTGGGGCCATGTGGGGCCGTTTCGGCAGCAAGCTAGGGTCACCGCTGCTGCCTTGCGCGATCTCTTGGGACGTCTTGGCGGCCATGTCGGGCCACCGTGGGCCGTCCTGGAGGCAATACCGGACCATCTTTGCCGCCGTTGCGGCCTCTTTGGGGCAGATGTTCTTTCTTGGCGGGCATCGTGGCCTTCTTGGCAGCTGAAGCGCACAAGTTCGTTGAAGCTGGGATCTTGGGCCAAAAGCCGTTGGGAACATGTTGGAGGGGCCCACACGAGCTAGAACACTTGATACGTCGAGCTCCCCTCTGGCAGGCCATGGTGGGTGGTGGAAAGGGGTGTTTGGCCCATCCCGCCACCGTGCCTGTTGTGGATCGGAGGGCATATTCTGGCCTCATGGGAAATATTTGTGGGTGGCGCTCGGAAGCCTTCTGGGTTTGGGGGGGCTTCTTGGGGGCCCCAAAAGGGGGGGATGAGGAGGGCGGAGGAGGGAGGTGGAGGGATGAGGAACGATGATAAGGGATGCTGGTGGGGGACAAGGAGGAGGGAAGAGAAGGGAGGGAAAGCAGTGCATGAGGGCGGGTGGAGATGAGGGAAGAGGGAGGGAGGGAGAACGAAGAGAAGGAACAAGGGAGGATAAGGTATGAGGAGTGAAGCAGAGGGAAGATAATGGAAGGGGAGAGAGAAGGATGAGGTGGAGAAGTGGAGGGATGACGAGGAGAAGTTTGATGATGAGGAGGCGGAGGCGGAGGAGGAGGAGCACGAGTAGGAGAAGGAGGAGGAGGAAGAGGAGGAGGAGAAGACTCTTTTAGACTGTTTTGTTTACTCAGAGGCCCATTCGGGAGACGCTCCCAAGGCAAGGCGCAACCACCCCGCACTCGCAGCTGACGCCCCGAATGCGACATGGCCCCGCCCCGCCCTAAATGTGCGTCACCCTCCTGCGGGCTGGGATGAATATTACTCTCCTCGCGGACCGTCCCACATCAGCCACATTGCCACTAGGCTGAACAAAATCGGGAGGCGACTGACGGCCTCGCTCAATCGCAACTCTCGCGCACGAAGGATCGCCTTCGGCGCCGCCTCACGACGGGGGAAAAGACCTCGCCGAATGCGGGAGAGATTTTCAGCGCCTTTCCTGGTCGGCCGTCCCGGGCACACGCGGATCATGTGCCTGGGGTCGCTGCCTGTGGAGTGACGTCCACACAGGTGGCAAAGCACACTTCGAATTCGGGCCCGCACACGAGCCGGTGAGATCCGTGAGGCTGCTCAGCTGCCCCGCCCTCGGCGACAAGACACGACGCTATACGACGTCCACGCAGTGCCTGCGCTATAGACTCCCTGTTGGAAGTCGGCCCTCGGCGCTCCGTGCCACAGAGCTGCAACAGCTGGGGCGAGCGTGCCATGAGGTGGTGCGAGCGTCTAACGCTCGCTGGCGGAGGAGGAGGGGAGGAGGAGGAGGAGGAGGAGGAGGAGGAGGAGCCTAGGAGGAGGAGGAGGAGGAGGAGGAGGAGGAGGAGGAGGAGGAGGAGAAGGAGAAGGAGAAAGAGGAGGAGGAGGAGGAAGGAGAGGAGGACGGGAACGCGGTGCCAACGTCGCAACTCATGGTCGGACCGCTGGGCAACAAGGCGGGCCGAAGTGCGGGCTGCACGCCGAGGGCCCGGCGGCCGCGTGCCCGGCTCCCCGTCCGCTGCGCTCGCCAGCTCCAGCGCCTCCCTCGCCCGGCGGCGCACCAGCGGCCGCGTCGGTCTCATCGCGCGAGGCGCGGTGCCGACGAGCCCCGCGCGCCGGCCACCCTCCGCGGCGGCGCCCGCCAGCACGTCCGCCGAGGCACTGCCCAGCGCCAGGAAGAGGCTCGCGCTCGGAGGCGAGCAGGCGGACGTGCTCCTCCGTGCGCGACGCCACCCACTCGCGCCGCGAAGGCGGCCCGCGCCCTCTGCCACGGGTCCTCACTCGCGAGCCCCGCCCGACCAGCGCCCGCCGGCCCCCCGCGCCGCGCGCGGAACGACGGCTGGTGGTCCGTGGCGAGCCGCACCTTGCGGAGGAGGAGGAGGAGGAGGAGGAGGAGGAGGAGGAGGAGGAGGAGGAGGAGGAGGAGGAGAGAGGAGGAGGAGGAGGAGGAGGAGGAGGAGGAGGAGGAGGAGGAGGAGGAGGAGGAGGGGAGGCGGAAGAGCAGTGGTGCTTGGGAACGCCCTCCCCCCCCCCGCCGCAAGGGCGTGTCCTACACGTCCGCCAGCGCGGAGGCGGAGCTGCTGAAGGCCATGCCCCCTGAG